AATTACTCCATGAGCTTAGCTACTTATTAATAATCCTACTATTAAATTTATTTCTTTAATTCGTACTTAAGTTGTAGATATTCTAAGCATACTAAATAATAAAATATGATGACAACAATCAAAATTTCTTATATACAAATACGTGTGTTATAATTCCAATTAACTTATAAATTTAAAGAAAAAAACATTTTATGAATTATGTAAACTGGACTATATTTAAACTACAGAAAATGTTAAACCAATAAATCGATACATTTAGTTTCTTTCCCCTTAGAGAGAGAAAATTCAGAAATTCTCCGAACATTTAAAAAGCAATTTTGAAATCATTTTTAAACTTTACGTAACAAAATTAATATTTAATTATTGAACTGATGAAAATGTACTAAAAATATAATGTTAACTTAGGGAATGAATCTTAATAACGTTAGGTATTTTTGACAATAAGTAGATATTATACATCAATTCAACTATACACACGAGAATTAAAGAAGGAGAGTTTATAGACTGAAACCTTCTTCAATTGGAATTGCATCGAATAAAATGCCATCAAGAGAGTTGTAAATAAACAGAAACCATTTAAGTATTGCCATTGATGCGTTTAAAATAAAATATTAACTTTAATGAAGCTGATAATGATTTACTTTTAACTCATTATAAATGGAAGGTTCTTGTCTTAACTTTGCTAACAAAACTTTCTTCGAGAAACCGAATAGCCTGGCGTCTAAACTATGTCTTCTCCATAACGAGCAGCGATTGAAGGCTCCTATGAATAATTTTGTGGCAAAAGGCAGGTAAGAGGAAACCCCACGAGTGTTCTACGCACGAAGGATCGTATATCATCCTATTAGCCCCACAATTATCCTTTAACAGACAAAGACAGATGGGGAATTGACAAAAAAAGTAATCATTTTTACCTTATCTAGAAGTTGGAAAAATCTTAAACTGGCAACGTTATAAGACAGCTTGTTTCTCTAATAGTGTAATTTTGATAGCAGTTTCGATGGTCTAACGATTGTGCATTAGAATTAATTAGATTCGTTTATCTATAAGTTAATCTAGATAAAACATTTAGAAATTTTTTCTTTAATACATTACTCGTAATCATTTGGATTAATAGATGGAAAGATGACTTTTACGACCTCCGAAAGCTTTAAGCTGATCGGCTTATGACGTAGTTATAACTTTCTAAATGATCGAACTCAACTTATCAGAAAGATAAAATTAACATTTTTGTTTTCGAAGGTTTTCGATCAACAAAAATATAAAAATTGGTTCTCCATGCCCTTATCTTAACTATTTTCGTTATTGTTTGTATTTTGATTTATAATCAATAGACTCGAATTAAAATGTGATAAAACATTTTCTCTTAACAAAAATTTAATCGTATGAAAAATCTTTTTACTAATTCTTCATTCAGTCTGATAGAAAATTACGGCATGAAAATCAAGTTTCATTTTGTTTATGTCTTAACGAAATTTTAAATGCATTCTCATTTTTTTTCCAACGAATCGAATTAAAATTCATCTCACGAAAAATATAAAACTCCTGAAGTAAAAAGAATAGTGACTTTCAAACTTAGTAATTAAAGAAGTATTTTTTGCAGATTAGAAATGCCTAGTTGAAGTTGAAGTTTCTGGCTCTAAAGATAAACAGAAGATTATCCGGATATTCTTTCTTCGGCTTCTTTCGACGTTTATGAAATAATATTTGACAGAAGAGAGGATTCAATCATCATAAAATACAGCTCTTTCAAATAGTAATTTACTGACTAAAAAAAGAAATGCTTCAATTAACACCCAGAGAAATCGCATTTCCATCAATCCCGTGCTTTAGTTAATCCCAAAACTCTATCAACTTCGCTATCTCCATCCATTAATCTTTAGATATACACTAACAATAGACATTAAGGAGCAAATTATCTTCATTTAGAATAATTGCTATTCAAACGAAACCCTTTAGTCAAATTAATATTTGAATACTATCTTAAATATTTATTTTTCAGATTCTTAATATATCAAAGTCGTGATGATAATCTACGAAATATATTAAATAAGTTTTAGATTTAAAAAAGAATTATAAATAAAAACCAACGCAAAGTTATAATTACTTGTATTTAAACTCGAAGCATTTAATAAACAGAAAAATCCTTTTAGCGGAATTAAATTCTCTATACCAAAACGATAAAAAAAATCCAAATTAAAAATTGATCTAAAAGTATTGATATTTAAGATGTTTAATGGCTAAAATAATGATCACTATAATATTTAAAAAGTTATCGAGAATGTTTTATTTAAATTTATCTTCAATATTTAATTATTTATTAAGGTTTTGTACTCTAGATAGAATGGCTTCGAGGCAGATTTGTAATTAATGAAGTAGTCAAACAAAGTCGGAGCAAACATTATACTTTTAATTCTACTCGAGTTAATAAAGAAACCAAGTTGATTTTTCTGTTACGGTTATTTTAAAATAAATGCTTCTTACCAATGGAAAATGAGTAATAATACATGACAAAATATCTCTCTTTCCATAAATAAAATATCCATAAAAATAGCATTAAAGATATCACATTTCATACTTTCGAAGATCAAGTGGTGCAGCAAACCATCATAATTTACTCGCCCGAAATAAAAGGATGGTCTATCCATTAATGTTATCGGGCAATTTACCTGATGTTCAAGAATCTTTTTCGTCCCATTTTATTCAGATATCAAAAAAATGTTTGATCTTTAAAGCTTAAAATCCAGAACTGTATGGATATAAGAATGTTCAAGTAAAAATCCATTTATTATATTTGAACAATCAAGTTTTGAATGAATATGTATTTGAAGATTATGCTTCATAAACATATACAGTTGAAAATTAATAGGTTTTTGTATTAAATTTCCTTGCCTTTTTTACACAGGTAGTCGTTTGGTGCATGATATAGTAATTGGTGCATGATGCACCGTAATTACCCGGATAGTTGTAAGAGAAAGATAATAATTTGTGTGGCTAAAACATCCTAACATTGAATTAGAAGATGGTCTGCAAAGTTTGTATTGGAGATCTGATGGAAGAGCAAAAAACTCGTTAAACTTTGAACGGCAAAAATAAAACGGCAATGTTTTTTTCTTTCCATTAGATCTATAAAATTTTAAAGTTTCTTTCGATTTTATATTTATTATATATTTTATATTTTATAAATAGGTCCACCCTTAGACCATTTAGAATTTATTTTCAGATTAAAAATAACATGAATAAATATTACAATAACATTCACATGCCAAAAACTTTTTAATATACGATGTTTTAAATCATAGGCTATATATTATACGTTGACAATACTCGTTTAAGAAAAGTATTCGGCCATTTTACGACAATTTACCTTTATAGACAAAATAATGTCGAGTTTAATGGCTTTACGTCCAAAAAAATATCTAGGTAAGCCAAAAAATATAAGAAGAAATTCATTTCATATTACAAAAAAGGGGATCATTTATAGAGATTTTGATGAGACGATTTCTCACGAAAAGGGATTGTTTTGCTGGCTTTACTACCTTGACCTCGACCAATTCAGTTACGACAATAACATCGTCTTCTGGATCAATTCCAAAATCATTTGTTATTTTTACAAGGATTTCCCGTCCTTCAACTAGCAAAACTCGGAAAAATTGCATTAAACGTTTCGAATCAATGTCACTGAACTAGGTTATTATGTTTGAAGAGATGACATTCATTAATTTCAAAAAAAATTTCTAAATACTTGTATTTTATTCTTCTGGTATGTTCAGAAGAATAAAATACAAATATAATACTCGAGCTTTTTTTAAAAAAATGTTTTATAGTTGCATCGCAATCCCATCAAACATACGCCAGGCTTACAGAATCAGAGCTTTTTTGTCAATAACTTTTTATATAAATATATATATAATGTGCTTTTAACAAAGAATAGAAACGAACATTGACAAATATCCAGGTTAAAACAAGTTATAAGTATATTATTAGATGCCAGCAAAGATTCGGACATTTTAAAAATTCTTTCAAAAAATCTTTACGACGTTACACGAACGGATACAAATTCTCTATATTTTACTCGGACATGTAGTGAATTTCTGCATTTGAATGAAGTTAATATGTAAATATTGATAGAATGGAACACGAGAACATCACAAACGGAGTTTACATAAATTTCAGTTTTTCGACTTTAAACCCACTCTTATATTGATGATATAAACTACAAAATATACTTTTTTTATTTAATATTTGACTGAACTTTAAGATTCTTTTGAAAATCTGTATTGGAACACATACGAATGTCAATATACCATCCTCTTCTCAAAACACAACTTAACTAAAATTGCCATCTGGAATAATTTTGACGAGTGAAATAAGACAGTTAATTTTCTCTTCGGAGCATATTAAACATCTCACAAACTAAACATACGACTTAGGAAAATAAATGAATCTTTATCTAAAATAGAAACTGATACACAGTACCACAGCTTAAACTTTTATAAAAATTGCCGCTAAAGTTATTCTCACAAAAAACTAAAATACCTTTTTAAAGAAAATAAGCTTTAATTAATAATAATTTATAAAGTATTAAAAGGTGAAATATATGGCAAATTTTATATATTAATATATATATTATAAATTTATGGAAGAGTCTGCAAGTATTTAAATAAGTTAGGCATTTCTTCCAGTAATGCGTAGACACGCCATCCAATAAACTCATAAAATGCAAATATCGTGCGGTAATGAATTAAACTGTTGTTTATTATTGGCTTAAAAAAGAATTCCGGGACGTCGAGATGCTCGAAATCGATCGAGTGACGAATGTATACGATGCGTTCGGATATAAATATTATTTTTATTCCTGGATCTGTAGTTGCCAAGGTCGGGTACTTAATAGACTTAAACTTTACGAACGGAGAAAGAAAATGCAGTTTATGCGACTGGTGCATTTTAATTAGACGTAGATGAGTTATGGACGTTAGCGTTTACGTAATGGAACTTACCTCTGATTCCGCTCCAAGCTCTCCTAAACATATGCAACAGACGGCGATACAATCCCGTCTGACGTTCGTCCATCGGCGCCTTACAGCTGCCTTCTCGACGACAGTTGGGAATATCTTTTTCCGTCATGTCCACCAGGTTGTAACGGATCTGTTTAATGTTCTTGATACTAGTCATTGTTAGGTGCTGCCACCTGCGCAGACAGGTAAAAAGAACGAGGCAGGTATTCAGTCCCGAACGTCTCGCTTTTCAGTCATCGCAGCCAAAGCTGACGTGAAGGGAGAAAGAAGGTGCCTGTTGCTCGTTGCCTTGACGACCCGCGTGCGGCGAATCGCTGCCGTGTTCCTCGCCGACTGCACGTGTGGCTCCGTTCTTTCGCGCCGGCGCCATCCTAACGGCGCAATATCCACTCTGGCAACAACGTTTTAACCATGAAATCGTTCTCTGCCATTCTCCTTTCGTTTTCCTTTCGCGGGAAAAATAACTGCAGTTTTGTTCGTATCAATATCCTAGAAGAGAAAAAAATAGATAAAAATCGATGGAGTGTCGATGGCTACTCCATCATTCTTATCTTCCAAAGGAGATAAATGCCGTTAAATGCTACCATTCGAATGAACAGACCCGAGATTTCGTATTAAAAGCAATTTTCCCGAATTAAACTAAGCGTAAATTAATTATAAACAACTTCGAGGACTTAAGTCGGAGAGAGCTTTACGGTAGAATTTTCCACCGTACGCCGCTGTGTGAATAAATGCCAAACGTCGGATATTCTCTGTTAGAATGACATCTTTGTTTGTCTACGCGAAGGTTTCCGGAATATTGTTTATCTGATCAAGTGCTGAGCTACGCTAAAGTTATTCTTTAAAGATGAATAATGATCGATAATTAGATACCGCTCTAGCTTACTCTTCAAATTCATTAACGCTATTCATTCTCTACATCCATATACAGAATATAAGGATCGTTGCTTAAATATTTTTAAGTTCAAATTTAACTTTGAAAAGTATCTTTGACTTTAGAAGTTTCTACGAATTGATCAACCAGTGATTTCAAATTCGAACTTAGAATGTTTGGCAGTCGAAAATTTGAATTCTTTAGCCGATGATACTTTACTGTATTTTATTCGTAAACAATTTATTTTTAGACATGAATAGATATAAACATCTAAATGCTTTTACTAATTAAATTAAATACTAATTTAATAAAATGGAATTTCTTAAAAATATACCTGAAGTTAGTCGGTCTTATATGAAATATTTTGATTCGGTTACTGTAATTTCTACAGTTTGGTTTATAATAATTTTTAAATAATTAAATTATTAATATAATTTTAATTATTTTAATTAAAGTATATTTAGGCTTACATTACTGAAATAATAAGCATATATGTGTTTTTATGTTTATTAAATCGATTCGGATTTATAAAACATGTATTATACGAGTATATTGATAAAAGAAAGTTTTAATAACTTAACCAATGTTGTAGTCTGTGTAATTTAATGAAACATTTTTAGATTTAATAAAGACGTAGAATATCTTAAATCAAAATATATTTATCTTAAATAAACTTAATAATATCAATAGTAAAGATGTGAATTGTCGCGAATTATTTTTACTTAAGTTAAATGTTTATTCTAAATACAGTTTAGGAGCGAGCATTTACAATGCAATTTGCCTTCACTATTACAGCTGAGATAAAATACAAATAACTATTAAATTACGAAAACGAAAAATATATTTCGAAGAAGATCCTTCTCTACATCGCCATCCACTTTAGTGAACAGTACTGTACAGTACATAGGTGCAAGGGGAGATGTGAGGGATGCAAATGTCACAATAGTATAGACTAAATGTATTGTATCTTATCGATAAAACTGTAATCTAATAAGAGATGAAATGTAAAGTAATATAGTATATTTTAAGTAATATTGATAAGAATATTCAGATTTCACAGGGATTAATGCCATTTTTTTTCCTTTTTAACCAGCTATGACGTTCGGTTAAAATGGATGTCGTCAAGATTAAAATGTTTCCTACATTAACAAAATGAAATATGTAAACTATCCTAAACATTACACACATCAGTTGCATAATATGAAATTATTACAAGAACAGAGAGATAAATTATATAAGCTAATCTTATTTAACAAGCAGATGTAATTAAAACGAATCGAGTTATAGCAATAGTATAGTTATTACAGCTTTATGTAAGAGAGAGTTAAACATAGGAAATATAAAAATATTCGATTATTAATTAAGAAATTAGTAAATAAAAGATTAGTTTAATTTTTTAAATTGTATCTCAAGGAATTAAAATATATTCCATATTTTAAATAAAAAAAATTGAAAAGGATAATTTGTATACTCGTATATAGCTACATATAATAATATAAAATTGTGTAAAACAGACTTCAGATATAAATTTTTTATGCAAATTAATGTATAAATCAAGGATTTATTTCTTCATTCATTCAAACTCGAAATAAATTTGTTTGTTAAAAGGAATGTGCTGAAAAAATTGAAAATAAATGAATGATTCATAATACGAGTACTGCTGTGTATAATTAAATAAAGCACATTTTATCTTAATAACAAGAATATTATCTCATTATACATCGTTTAATTTAAATTTTTTATTTCCTGTTATTAACTGTGTTTATCTATACGGTATTCTGTAAGAATAGAGCAAATTGTTAACATCTTACTTAAGGTTATATTTTTCCCTGAATATACATAATTGTTTGTATAATTAATAAATATGACAATATTGATTTATTCTTCACCAACTTTGGTGAAGAATAAATTAACTAGTATTAACTAGTATTTTCTATTTAGTATTTAGTATTTAGAATTAACTAGTATTTTCTGTTTAGCCTAATTACTGTTTTCTAACATTTGAAAATAACCAAACTTAATATTTAAGTATTGCACTTAAGATGCAAGTGAAACTTGCATCTTAATTTTTCATTGTCGTCAAGTTCAGTTCGCTGAAAGAAGGAAGGAATTCGAGCACGAATTGAACCGGAACCTCCTGACCGGAAACTTACGACAGACTTTCATATGCTCAATCGGATGGTAAAGAATTATTTTTATGAAGCTTTTTATAATGACATTGCAAATAGAAATTACATGTAGAAAATTTCTCAAATTTAAGTGTATATGGAGATAATTGAAATTATCTTGTGAATTTCATACATTTCGAATTAGCATATTAAATTAAGCATTAACAGGATATTAGTAAAACAGTTACTACCAAGTCTATGTTTAGCGCATTCTCGGGCATGAAGAAAGAGAGAATGAATGGTTATGGGCTTAATTACTATCTGTAACTTGGTGTAATGAGATAAATTTCTGTAAGTATTATTGGAATGCAATCGCTATCGATAATATAATGTATAAAGGCTACTAGTTACTACAGCTAGTATGTTCTTACTTTCTTACGTAAAAATTTATTTAGATGAAAATAAATTATTTTAAGTTTGCAGTTTTATCTGAATGTCGATAATAATTTTTAAAATTTATTTAATTTTCTTTTTAGTTTAAAGTAAATTTTTCAATTATGCAACATATTTAGCTGTTAAAACTATTTATGATGAATAATTGCATAAAGGCTGTTAGCTATTAGTTGTTTTATGCGTAACATAATATAAATATAATGTCTAAATTTTTGTTTATTATAAATACATTATATTATATTTAAGAACAATAATGCTGTAGAATTTAGTATTTTTGTTTTGAAATATTTAATTATTAATCATATATATAAAATAACTTTTTAAATTTTATAAATTAAAAATAAGAAATTTAATGCTATGTGGTCTTATAATTCTTTATAAAATTAGAAAATAATTGAAGTCCGAATACTTGTAATAAAAATTAATTTCGTCTTCTTAAATTGTATTATTTTAATTCTTATTCCTTATCATCTTAATTGTTACTTGTAGTTAGTGAAATTAAAGAATAAATTAAAATAAATAATTAAATTATTTATATATTAACACGTTTAAAATTAAGATTGAAATGACTAAAATATTCTAGAATAAGACAATCAAGAAATAGTGGAAAAAACTTAGTGATTCAAAACTACTTATATCACTACTTCATAATTAGCAGACAGAAAGAATCTAAATTATATTTAGCTTAAATAGTGTTTATATTTTTGATAAATTTCAAACTCATTTTTAGGACACCACCAAAATACGCAGGAAGTCTGGCTCTTTTCCTTCTTAAAGATTTTAAAATTTAAACTGTGAATAAGTTATAACTCCAAATATATCCTACAACCTAAGGAAAGTAAACCTACTTTCCTTCATTGTTATACCCAGTTCCTAGTCATACTCGATAATTATTAATAAATTATTATATACAAATTGTAAATTTGAAAGAAAAGTCAATTACATATTTATAGCTACATAATACGATTAATAAAAATTTTTATAAGTTCTCTTTAGGATGGTTTATATTCGAATACAGAGATTTTTATTTATTTACATATCTTACATTAAAATCGCATAAAATAAATTTTCGAATAAAGTATTTAAGTTAATGGAAAGATACAACGTAAAATTAGAATCATAATTTTTGAAGAAGAATAGATATTTTTTTAAATTAAAGCGTTAAGGGGTTAATTTTGTTTTTAAATTAATAAACAATCGAATAGATCTAATTTATCGTAATGTAATTAGTTATTTGATTTGTTTCAATCATTATTCAGATTTTTCAATAAATTGTAAAAATTTCTTATTTGTATTACACATAAGAATAATTATAAATATGTTTTAAAATATCCCCCATCAAAAGATGAAACTGTATACCAACGATAAATAATAAATTTATATTATCGTAGGTAAATTAACGTAGAATGATTTTGAATACGTAAATATAAGTTTATAGAAAGTAAGAAGTTTGACGACGACGACCTTATTTCATGCTATCTTGCAGTCGAACAATGCTGAATACAGATGCTTTCCAAGATCTTATGCAATTCATTAAAACTAAACGAATTAAGACAAAGTTGCTGAAAGACTCGACGTTAATCAAACCAAATTTGATTAATCAGATGTTTTGGTATGTCTCGATCAGTATTCACAGATTTTTGGAGAAAATATTAGCAATAACGATACTTCAATTTAAAAGGACATTCTCCTCAAACTGAGGGATTAGAAGGTCTCTTATGACAGCTATTCCAAAAAAAATCCAGCAATGAGTTGCTTAACTTTCCCGGCAATATTTTTTGGCGCCATCTGTAACTTTTTATATTTTTAACTATTATAAAATGGCAAATAGCTTAATTTTGAGGATAGGGGTGGGTTTTATAAAAAGAATTGTAAATGCTAATAACAAGTAAAATCGTTATAAGTCCGACTCTACTGGAGATACACACGACCCCCTCTTCATCTTCCACACGTCGACCTTTAATCACCAAAATTTAATAGCATCAATCCTCCTAATACATAAACTTCCATGCAAAATTTCAAACATTTTCGACAAAAAGCAGA